AAATAATTTTTATTAAAAAATTATTTTTATCATCCCTAAACTTTTAATAAAATTCAACTCTTTTAAAATTTTATAAATTCTTTCCATAACATAAAATTATACGTCATGAAGAGTATAATTGTCATATCACATAGGCTCTACTCTCAATTAGCTGCTATGTAGCCCAACCAAGGTTAGTACATAAAATAGAATTTTTTTTTTGTACAATAGGACAAACAGTTTTATTAATTATAGAAGTTTATTTTGAGATTTACAAAATTTGTTACAGTGTTCACTCATTAGGTTGAGGTGATAAAATTGACCGAATAATATTTTTTATTCAAACTCATCACATCGAGGTGATGAGTTTCAATAAAATATAATTTATTATAAAATTTTATTAAGTCGACATAACGAGTTTTAAATCACTATAACAAATATCATAGATCCCTAAATAAATTATTTTATACTGTATTGAGTTAAATAATTAGCCCATCTATAGTATTGGGCTGAATCCCCCCCAAAATAGAAATCTCTTCATTTGTCTTTAAAATAGGATTTGGCCACGATCGAACTCACACCAAAGATATCGTCAATATAAAACGTTCTTTTCTTCGAGATTGGACCATTCTCTTCTTTCCCAGGAACGATTAACATTCAGTCTTTTCTCCATAACTTTTGATATCATTGCATGATGTGAACCCGTCTTAAACTACCAAACAACTAATTTCTTATCAACAAATATATAAATATATTATCAATGCATTGAATAAGATTTAAGTATATAACGAAATAAACTCATCAAGCGGTCTATGTGGTTATTAAGAATGTTATTCTCTCTAGAGATTTTAGGTTCGGGTATTCTATATTTATAAAATGTGTATGTGTTATCAATGACCTAAAAAAATATGAATAAATATTATATTATAATCATCTTAAATTATTAAAAAAAACATCTAAAGAATCCAAAAATATGAAATAATGTCATTCGTTTAGTGCCAAAGCAAAATATTTATGTCTCGACTTGGCTAATCCCATAATTTATTTATGAAAGACCAATTCTAGAGTCTACTTAATTTAGGGTTCTCTTATATGAATTATTTTGATACCTTCCTGTTAGGGGTGTACAAAAAATCCGAATATCCGATTTTGCAAAAAAAAATATCCGAAACCGGATTTGGGAAAAACCGGTTTTTTTTAACCGGATCAGATTTTTTTAAACCGGTTATTTTAACCGGTTTGGAGAAAAAAACCCAGACCGGTTTTTTTACCGGATAAAAAACCGGTTTGAAAAAAACCGGTTAAAAAACCGGTTTTTATCCGGAAAAAAACCGGTCTGGGTTTAAAAAACTAGCCGTTAATATAGCCGTTTGTGACCGTTTTTTTCTTTAAAAAATTACCATTTTACCACCCTAAACATGTATAAATAGGTTGGGAATGTATTTGGTTGATTACAACTTTCTCAAATCTTATTACACAACACTTAAACATCTCTCAAATCTTAGTTTTATAATTTTTTGTTCATCGTGAGTAACACTGCTGAATCTTCCGTCGGGGGGAAACCTTGAAGTCGTGAGAGTGATCGAACACACTCGAAACAAAGATATTTGGGATCACTACGATTTATGTGAGATGTCAAATGGCTCGAGGAGGGCGCGTTGTAAACTTTGTCTAAAGTTTCTTGCATCGGAAGGAAACACAACGTTGAAGAACCATTTGACAAAATCATGCAAGGCACTTCGCTCATGATCGGATCCTAGTCAATCGAATCTTATACCGCAATGTGGTGTTTTTGTTTACGACAACGAAAAATTACGAAAAGCGTTTACAAAGTTCGTGATTACAAAAGCATTGCCGTTCGACCACTTTGATGATGAAGATTTCACGACAACAATTCAACAACTAATGCAACCACGTTATACTCAAGTAAGTCGTACTACCCTTAGAAGAGATGCTATAAAAATGTGGCGTACGGCGAGGGAAAAAATGATTTTAGGATTCCAAGAACACCGTTATGGTGTGTCACTTACATGTGACGTTTGGAGTTCCCCTCATAATACCGGAAATTCTTTTTTAGCCGTTACGTCACATTGGTTAGATCAAGATAATTGGCAAATGATGAAAAGAACAATCGCGTTTGAATTATTCGGTGAGCTGCATACCGGTGCTAATTTATTTACACTTTTAAAACGGGTAATTTGTCTTTATAAATTAGAAAATAAAGTTTTTTCTATATCCTTTGACAATGCATCGAATAATACAAACGCGGTTCCAAGATTGAAAATATTACTTTCACCGATTTTAGACGGTGCGTTTTTTCATACCCGTTGCGTTGCACACATAATTAATTTTATCCGTGCAAGCCGATTTGGAGGTTATTGAGCCAATTAGATTAGAATTTAAACTAATGATAAAATCGATTCTTTGTAACAACAACAAAAGACTAAATGATTATAAACGATTTTGTAAGTCTGTTAATAAAAAAGCTTTGGGTCCTAATTTGGATTGTCCAACTCGTTGGAACTCAACTTGGATGATGATGCATACTGCCTTAAGGCAAAGGGAAACATTGCAAACATTTCACGATCGGCTTTTCGAGAGGGGTTATGTCTCAAACATTTATCCGAATTCGAGTTGGGAAACTATAGCCAAAATAACCGATTTGCTTGAGGTTTTTAAAAATGCAATAACTTTTTTATCCGGTGTTTATTATCCTACTAGCCCGTTGGTTCTTAATCAAATATTTTTATTGGCTACCTGACTAAATGACTTTGAATTTGAAACCGAAGTTTTTCAAGAAATTGGCTTTGCAATGAAGGAAAAACTTTTAAAATATTTTAAGGAGATTCCCCCCATTTTTACTTGTGCCGCCGCGTTAAACCCAACGTTAAATGTTGGTGGGGTTGAAACACTAATTGAACAAATTACGTTTGCTTTTAATCTAACCGATGATGAACCCAACTTTGTCCAAAACCAAATAAATTATTTTAACAAATGTTTTCGAGACATGTTTGCAATTTATTTAACTAAATACGGATCAAGTAGTGTAATACACGATCAAATGAGAATGAATGCGGAATCATCTAGTAGACGTCCAAGTAACATAAATTTGAATCTTTTTAACACTCTTGTAAATTCCCAATCCAAACGATCACGTACTACCACCCCAAGTAGCGAGTTGGGAAATTACATGTCATGCGATTTTCTATCAAAAATGACATTTGAAAGTTTGGATATTTTGGCTTGGTGGAAAGAAAAGAAAGCACAATTTCCGATTCTAGCCGCCATGGCCCGTGATTTACTAACCGTCCAAGCTTCTACAGTAGCTTTGGAATCTGCTTTTTCTGTTAGTGGCAGGGTTATATCACAACGGAGATCAAGACTAAGTCCCGAGTCGATGGAAGTATGCATTTGTTTAAAGGATTATTTGGATGGAGCGGCTCGTAAGCAACATATCACCACCCTAGAAGATGCAATTGATGCCGATTTGGAAGCAAACTTACACATTGAAGAAGTCGAACTTGGAATATCCCCTCCAAACGAAGAAGGCGAAGATGATGAAGAAGAGATGGTAAAGTAGTTTATTTTATAACTTTATTTCAATTATCGTAAACTTTGTTTCAATTATCGAACTTGAAGTTTTTAAGTATTTGAATTTATCGAACTTGGAAGTTTTTAAGTATTTGAATTTATCAAACTTGGAAATATTTAAGTATTTCAATTATGTTGAGTTAATTAAGTATTTCAATTAAGTATTTGAATTTATCGAACTTAAGGTTTGATGCTTTCTCTTTGATTCTTTCTTAATTCTAGTTACTTGATGTTTCTTGTCTTTGATTAATGGCTTCTAAACTTGTTTAAATACACCTTGAATCACTTCTGAACGTTAGTGATAATTAATGAAGATAATATAGCCGTTTAAGTGTGAAAATATTTAATAAAAATGCTTGGAGCGTGGGGGAATCGGTACCCTCTCATAGGAAATCGGTTTCCTCACATAAGGAATCAGTTTCCTCTCATAGGGAATCGGTTCCCTAAGTGTAAAATTCAAATATTTCGACCGTTGAATAGGGGGGAATCGGTTCCCTCCGAGCATTCTGGAAATCTCGGAGCCAAACCATTCAGTGAGGAATCGGTACCCCTTGGGGGGAATCGGTTCCCTATGAGCAATCTGGAATATTAAAATCGGTTTTTTTTATAACCGGGTTTTTAAAAAAACCGGTTTTTTTAAAACCGAAACCGATTACACCGGTTAGGATATCCGGCCCTCCAAACCGATTAGAAACCGAACCAGTTATTTTATAAACCGATTTTTTTTCTATGGGAAAAAACCGGATCGAATAAAAACCGTTCCGGATCGGATTAAAATCCGAATTATGTGCAACCCTACTTCCTGCTACACCAATATAATAGAGACAAATCAAGTGATAAGTAGTTTAATATCAATTAAGCAAAATCTCGAATTCGAGTAATTGTGTGTGCAAAAAAATCCCTTTAGGAGACTCGTTCACCAAAATCAAGTGTGCGACATAGGTAAGTCCAGATTAGTCAAGGTAAAACTTTAAAACCGGGAAAGCAAACAAAAAAATATAGTAGGGACAAACCAAAAGGAGACAAGCGGACAGAACAGAAACGATTACTCTCTGAATATTTCAAATTAACATACATCTTTAGCGATGAAGACTTGTTGAACCTTCTGATCATCCTAGGAAGAAGAATGGAATGGGAAGTGAAATGGGAGGTGGAGTTTTAATAATTTGGCGAATTTCTTTTACCTGGGGATTGAGTTTTCGAGGGTTTTGCCTGAAAATGAGGTGTGGAAGTAGAAGAAGATGGGATTGGGAGAGGATATGTTGAGGATTACGGATCAAGAATAGGCAACAACAAAAGGAGCACAGGAGTGCACATTGAGATGGAATTAAAGAAATCGATCAAAATCCTAGAAATAAATGTTCCATCCATGTCATCTAAAGCATCTTAATTTTATATCTAAAGATGCAGAGTACCACTGACATTACATTATCAAGAATGTAAGAAGCAAGCAAAACCTAAACCCGGAATTCTCCACAATAGAGAACTACAATAGAAAACAATCCATGTTTTCATACCATTTTGTGAATATACTGCAAAGCTAATGTAGTTACTTGGCAACCATATTTTGCTGAGCCAGATTCTCCTGCTGCTGTTGATAGTTAAGAGGCCTCCTGAAAAGCATAATGTGTGGTTCAGGACGATGAACAGCATAATGGACCCAGCCACGACTCTGTTGTACTCCAATTGCACGCCATTCATTCTACAAAGAAGCATGGCAGAATGAGCCAAAATCTAATGGAGATAACAGAACCGATGCAAGTTGCTTCAAGCCAATAGAAATAATGTAAAAAAGACCCCAAAACCTTTTTTAATAGTTTGGGGTGATTATAATTTATAAAGTAATGGTTGTAACCTATTAACAACATGCACACAATCAGATGTCATTCCTTAAATCCAAGATAGGGAGATCAACATTCTCTTTTATCTGTGAGAGGAGTATCTAATGTTTTAAATTAAACAAATGACATTTAACATCATACTTTACTCATTCAAATCAATTCAAAACCATAAGATTTTTTTTAATAATTTGGGTTGATTATAATTTATAAAGTAATATATGTAAAGTATTAAGAACGCACACACATCGAGATGTCGTTGTTCAAATTCAAGATTTCCTGGGAGATCGACATTCCCTTTTATCAGTGAGAGAAGTATCTAATGTTTTAAATTAAACAAATGACATTTAACATCATAGTTCACCCATTCAAATCAAATTTCAGAGCTAAGCGAAGTGCTATAAATATACTCCAAAATATTCGACAAGCATCACAAAATCAAGAAATCTGAAGCTCATAACATATGAGCAAGTTTAACTAATCATGCTTTCCGTCAGCCAACATTACCCGCCTTTGCAAAATGAATTATTCTTGCTGTATGGAAAGCTCGTTATTTTCATTTCATTTTACATCACTGACGAGCAATCAAATCAGATCTGATAATTATGATGAAAAAAAATTTGTTATTTTCATCTCAGAATTCATAGGAATTATTAAATTAAACAAGTGCCGAATTCAATTTGTAAAACTAATCAAAAGGAAACTGAATAATAATAATAAAAAGCGCATTTCAGTAAAACCCTAAGAAACAGCAAACATACTTCAGAAAGGAGCCGATTCTTGGGGAGAAGTTTGGCTACTTCAGGAGGAAGAACGACATGCCTGTACGATTACCGACACAAAAGAAAATTGAAAAACAAGTATGAAATCGGAATTAAATTTCCAAAAATTGAAATCCATAACCTAACGTTCTGAAAACAGGGAAAATGAAATCCACCACCTATATTCATAAGTATCATCGAAGTATTTCTCAGAGTATTGGATTTGACCCATTTTCTTCGATTTTCTCAGGGAAAATGAAATCCACTGCCTTAAGAGGGATTGAAATGAAGAATGAGAAAAGATTTGACTGGGAATTTGTGATTTATTGAAAGAAAAGAAAATGAGGTAAACCAAATTTACTTGTGGAATTTATATTTCTTGAAAGAAAAGAAAAGAAATTTGAATTTCAAATTTTAAACTTTAAATTTCTCCCGCTTTTTGGATTGAATCGTTCGGGTGTCAAGAATAATAATAATTGGGTTTAATGGTCTTTAGCCACTTGAGTTATATATTATTACTGTTATGGTATTTAAATATTTTTTAAATTCATTTTGGTCCATGAACTTTCTCATTGTGATGCATGTTATCTCAATTTTCAATATGTTTTCCTGTTGCAAAAGATCTATATTATTTTAAATTGAAAAAAACAAAACTTAAATTTCAAAATTTCCACACTTTTTTGGTTAACAAAATGAGAATTTTTTATAAAACCCTACTCTACCTCGTCGCAAAGAATTTTAGGTTTTTTCCACCCCGATTTTTAGATTAAAAATTTGATGTCAATTCGATCCGAATATATTGATATTTTAAAATAATATATATAATATATTACTATATTTATAATTATAGATTATATTTTAAATGATTAAATTAATATATTTTATATTTTTTAATATTTAAATAATATATGTTAATAATATAAAAATAAAATTTTTTAAAATATTAAATATATATATATATATATATAAAAGTAAAAAGTAATCAGATCTGGTTGTGTCGATGATTTTTCACTTTAAATTCGGCCTCATCCCACCTTGAACTTTCAAAAAAGAAAAACCGCCCTTACATGGTCGAATCTGATTGAGAGTCGTTGGGTTCCGATTTTCCAACCATCCCTAGTTCATGTTTATCTTTTTCCCATCATGATTACATTCCATGTCATGTATTGCATCAATGCAACAATCATAAACATTCACCATTACACTTCCATTAGCTTTCTAAAAGGTCAATAACAGTCAAAGAATCATCAAAGACGCAACAAACTCGCACATTAGCACATCTCTCCCTTAACCAAAAATCTTAACTAGTTTTAGACATATTTGTATTCCAGTGATAATTTATTGAGTTTGATCGATAAATCCAAACCTAAACATATCTAGTAATTGTAGAGGCGGATACAAAAATATTTTTCAACGATAGACACATATATTTTAACAACATAAATTTTTTAAATGAGATGAGTACAAATAAAATTTCAAGGCATGCACCGTCCGTAAAGTAAGTAACTAATTGAAGAAAACTTAGATTTCAGGTGTACACGAAAAATTTCAGGACGAGCACCATCAATAAAATAAGTAACTAATAAAAGAAAATATCTAAATTACTGTTAACATCTAAAGACTAAAAATTTATTTTTAAAATTTGTTCAATAACCTTTTGAAAGACTCTCCCTTAAAGAAGCGTATTTGCTGCATATCACATGAAGTATGAATATAATTTATATTTAGGTAAATTACATGATTAATTACTTTTGTTTAAGTTTTGTATATTTTTTCTCAATTAATTCAAAAAATATAATATTTATTCACTTTTTTTTATTTCATTAAGATATGTTCATGTTCGTTTTTATTTAATTAAGATGTAATCACTTAATTATCGACTTTTAAATATTTAGTCACAAAAAATTTAAGTGCAAGTAGTAAAGAAGCTAAATAAAAGTGATCATGCCTTAATTAAATAAAGGCGAGAGTGATCAAATATTAGAATTAGTGAGAAAGAAGTGTAAAAAAAATGATCGATCATGTAATTTATCTTTTATATTTTGTATGTAACATGCAACGTAGCGGTTCTTTAAGAAAAAACATTTCAAAAGACACTTTCATCTTAAGTGACACATATATAGAAAAATAAAGTAAAAGTGCAATAAGTATGCATATAATTGTACTAAGCAAAACCTAGTGGCATTACAGGATATGACGATTTTATCCACTTCAGACTGTTACATAAGCATCAATGATCAAAATATAAATAACGATGATAGTTTGATCAATTTTATATAATAGTAAAAATATTAAAATAGAAACTTTAGGACCAAATAGATTATTTTGAAGTTATAAAATATTTCTTTGTTTTAACTTTTAATTATTTAATGTTTTAAAATACTTTAGCAATTTTTTTTGATTTTTTTAATGTTTTTAAAGTTTGTTAAATCCTTAAGATTAGAAAAAAAATTAATACAACAACAACAACAACAAAACCCAATTCTCATATGTATGGGGTAAGAGGGAGGTAGGGTAGTAGGCTGCCCCAACGCCAGGTTGAGAATAGCTTCCGTGGTAGACCTTCGGCAGTCAGAAAATTAAAAATATAGATAAAATGCAATGCATGTATAAATAATTACATAAATACATAGCTAAACAATATTCATATACAGTCATTAATATCATATGTGCTTCTGTAATGGGGAGTAATCCATGCAAAATAATCCCTGCAAAAGAATCTCTGCATATAGACAGAAACATAAGACCCGACTAAATTTAACAGAGGAAACATGACGAGAATGATACACAAAAGTCAACGATAGCAAGTCCAGTTCTAATCTTTCATAAATACCAATAACAGAAAAGTATAAGAAGTAAAAGTCATGGATATTACTACAAATGCATTAAAAGAAGACAGAGATGATACACCCTATAAATAGAAAAAAATTTAATAGATTTGTATAAATATGGAGGGTTGAACTTGTAGTCTGATGGCTGAATTGATATAATTTATAAATATGGAAGTTAAATTTATTAACGTTAGTATCTAATTGATAAGATTTAGAAGTGTTGAGAATTAAATATAAAATTATACCAATTTGAAAGTGACACTTCAAATCCTCCATTATTATTTTAACAGATAATGACTAAACTGCAACTAAACTATAATATTAATGATTAAATTTGTAAGATTTTTCAATTAAATGATTAAAATAAAACACAATAAATTGAAGACTAATATTGAACATACTCATTATTTTGGGGAAATGACAGTCTTAATATATTATTAATAAAAGACGTTATCGGTTTTATTATTATTTAAATAATAAAACCGATAAAAATTTACCAAAAATTTTATTATTTCTACCGATTTTATTATTATTAGACGTTTTGTTATTTTTTATATCGAAAATATTAAAAAATATTAATATTTTAAATAATTTTTTATCATTTTATTATTTAAATAATAACAAAACGATAATAATTTTTTTAATTATATATTAAGAGTGTCACTGTATAACTTCCCAGTATTTTGTCATGCGCGACGACGTGTATTTCCTCGTTGGTCAGCAGAATCCTAAAGGTCTAGCAAAAGTGACGTGGCGGAATCCGATTGGTCAGAAAACTTTAATTGGTTAATTGAGGGTTTCAGAATAATTTAGGAGAGAAAATAAGTATCAGCAATAAATATAGGGAACCCTGGTAATTTTCAGTAGACAAGAATACCCCTATAGTCGTGGACTTGTAATTTAAGTTTCTATTTTTTTACATTTTGAGTACTTGTATGTTTTTTTTTTCACTCCCATAATGTTTCAAAATGTTAACAAGGAACGATGAACAAATGATTTTATGTTAAGGGGTGCGAGTTTAAGAAATTTTATTATAAACTTAATAACAAAAAATGATATAAAATTTAGAGAGTGTGAAATTAGACTATCGATAAAAAAACATGAAAAAAAATTCTAAATTACATGAGAACTATTTACAGAAATTGCGATCGCACTTCTTCATCACTATAATTCTATATTAAAAACAATTTCTTAAAAGAAATCACAATTAGAACGTTTCCTCTAATATTTGATCAGTGTGTTTTGAATGAAGATAAGGTATAATTAGTGACGATATGTGCATTAATTATGAAATTTATGTTTTAATATAAAATTAAAGAAACTAATCTATTAGAGAAATCACTTAAAATGTTTTAAAATGTTTGAAGTATAAAAATTAACCTACTACTAAAAGGGTCTTCCAGATCAAAACCAAAAAGTATGGGGATCATTATCGAATTAAAAAGGACCTGCTTAGACAAATACTCCAAAACGATGTGGTTGAGAGAGGGCTAGTTTCGTCATTCACGAAATACAAAGGTTGTCGTATGAGTTTCTTCCTCCTTTCCTTGGTCTCACTGTTTCCCAATTTTTTCCCCCTCTCGTTCTACAATCTTTCTTCAGTAATTTGGTCAAACAAAAAAAAAACCCTAATTTCTTTATTTTTCTTTTGCTCATCCTTTGTGTATTTTAGAAAAGCCGCTTAAAATTTCTTACCGTTTAATCCATCTCCATTGATGTAGTTTGAAATTGGTTTTGATTTATTCTTGGGAACATTGGCCCTCTAGGGTTTTGTTTTGATCTGAAGTTTTTCTCTTCTTCTTCTTCTTCTTTTAAATTGAATGGCGAATGGTACGGAGGCAGAGGATTTCGTGGTACTATCCCGGGTAAAGACGGGTCTGAAGCGTGAATTCGAGTTTGCTTTGAAGGCTCAATCTGAGATCTGCGGGTCTTTGGGTCGGACTCGATCTGGGAAGGCCCTGAATGGAGGAGGACAGGTTTGGAGTCCAGGTACCAGGAACACCAAGAGATTGAAGAAAGAAGTTAAGGATGAGAACGATAAGACATATTTGAAGGAACCTGTGAGGGTTTTGGAGGAATATGTTGATTTGTTAAGCGAAGAGGAGGCGAAAAGCGATGTGGAAGATCCGAAGAGGGAGGTTGTTGGTTGTGAAGAGGAGGAGTTGAAGATGATGAACTTGGAAAAGAACGAGGAAGTTAAAGATGAGGTAATTGAACCAATGTCTGAAGTTGAAGTTGTCAAGCAAGGGGAGGAAAAAAGTGAACCCGCAATGGCTATAACTGGCACGCCAGAAGAAAAACATGGGGAAGAGAAGATGAATGCTGACATTGGAGAGAAAGAAAGTGAACTGGAAAATGCAATGAAGAATGTAGAGGAGGAAATGCTAAAGGAAAATTTGGTGATAGAAAATAGGTCATGCAAAGGAGATTTAGAGGTGCCTGTTTTTGTTAGTTGCAACGGTGATAGCAAGATAGAGGAAGTGGTGAAGGAAGAGAAGCCTGTAAGGAGGTTTACCCATTCCTTGTTGAAAGTTAAAGATGTGGTAATTGAACCACTGTCTGAAGATGATGTTGTCAAAGAAGGGGATGAAAAAAATGAACCCGGAATGGCTGTAACGGGCTCGCCAGAAGAAAAACAGGAGGAAGAGAAGATGAGTGCTGACACTGGAGAGAAAAAAAGTGAACTGGAAAATACAATGAAGAATGTAGATGAAGATAAGTTAAAGGAGGATTTGGTGATAGAAAATGGGCCGTGCAAAGGGGACTTATGGGTGCCGGTTTTGGTTAGTTGCAAGGATGATAGTAAGATAGAGGAAGTGGTGAAGGAAGCGAATCCTGTAAGGAGGTTTACTCGTTCCTTGTTGAATGTGACTGTGGAGGCAATGAAAGAAACTGCTGCAACAGATGCTTTTGTTGTCAATGTGAGTGATGCCAAAATTGGTGATGGTGATGTTAAAGTTTGGACCGTGGATTCTCCAATGCGGAAGGGAACTATTGTCTCAACTAAGTTTGTAAGAGATTTCCCTACAGAGATATTGGATCTTTTGGATTCAGGTATTCTCAAGGGAGTAAACGTGAGGTATGCTCGTAGCTCAAAGGTATGTATGTGGGAAGAGTTTTGTAGGTGATGAATGCCTTGCTCTTCCAATTCAAAATTTTGTTGTCTGAATGTTTTATTGTTACAGGTTACAAGAGCTTCAGGGAGTAATGGGCTTCGGGGAATAATCAAGGGCTCTGGGATCTTGTGTTTTTGCAATGCATGCAAGGGGGCTAAAGTAAGGGAGTGTTATTTATTACTATTATTTTGTGTTTTATCATGATAACTTATTTTGTAAGTTTGCGAGTACCCATTTGTTTGTATTTTATCGTTAATTTAGGTTATTACCCCTACCTTATATGAGATTCACGCTGGTAGCTCGAAGAAGGCTGCAGAAGAGTATATTTACCTGGAGAATGGGAAAACCATCCGTGATGTAATGAACACATGCAGGGAGAGTCCATTGAGCATGTTGGAGAACACCCTGAGAATGGTGATTGGTTCTTCCATGAAGAAATCCCGCTTTTGTTTGAACTGCAGAGGTTGATTTTTTCTTCTTTTATCTGTACATATTTTCTCTTTTCTTATTGGAATTTGGCAGCAGTCTTGAATTTTCTTTATTGTTGTAGAGTCTATTACTAGAGCTGGATCTGGGAAAGCCATGCTTCTATGTGATTCATGTCTGGATATGAAAGAGTCTCATGACAACTCAACTTTAGTGCCTGATGCGACCAAGGTGGCTGCTGCTACTGATAGGTATTATTGGGTGCCTGTGTTTTTCTTGGTCCATCTTTGAGTTTGGAAGCGGAGAAAAAAATAAAATATCCTTGCAATTTCATAATCCATTGGGTATTTGTCTAGTACTGGTTTTCTGGCATACGACTATTTTTTAACCCTTGGCTGCGAAGACAGTTTTATCTGGAGATGCTAAAATTTGGTCTCATTGTTCATCAAATTTATGAGTATTGAGGGGGTTTATGATTGTTCCCGAAAATAAAGAGTGACAAATTTGTATGAATGTGGATTTGAAGTTATATTTGCTGCTTATGAAATTTGTATGCTAGCTTTTAGATATAAATGCACAGAGATAGGCTCCACATTGCGCATTTACTTGCTTGTTATTACTTTTCTCTTATCTGCATGATTGAAGATAAGATATTTCTGTTAAAGTTTAACTCATTCACCTGCTTGTTTTATTTTTGTTTTCTTTTTGGGTTTACTTCAGATCACCCAAGCCAATTGTGTTTCCAAAGTCTCCAATGAGTGCTTCAAAATGCAATTCGGCACAAGCTAAGAGTCAGGGAAGAGTAACTAGAAAGTAAGTTTAGTTTTGTGTTTATGTATTCTGTTGGCATATTCGGTATTCACTTTGTTGATTATAGTTGAGGTGGTCACTTTTGTGCATGATCTTTTTGTTGATGGTATATAACGAATTAATCTCCTTCATTTTGCTTTTGAAGGGATCTGAGAATGCATAAATTGGTATTTGAGGAAGATGGGTTGCCAGATGGTACTGAATTATGGTATTTTGTTCGTGGACAGGTTTGTGTGAAAATGCTTAAATGTAAAATTTATCTATTTCAACTATGTCTACCAAGTGTAAGTGGTTATTTGACGTGTTGCAGAAAATGCTTGTTGGTTATAAAAGGGGATTTGGAATATTGTGCACCTGCTGTAATTCAGAGGTACCCTTTTCTTTTTCCAATTAATTTGTTGCACCCTAAATTCTCTGATCTTTTGTTTTTGTTGTTTTATATGAGCACAGATAAGCCCCTCACAGTTTGAAGCTCATGCTGGTTTTGCTAGTCGTCGCAAGCCGTATGTTTCTGCTCAGCTTAGTTGTCAAAGCCTCGTGTTTGGTCTTTTTTTTATCTTTTAATTGTTATAATAATGACTTGGTGCATTTAGTGTATGCATATATGAACACAAGTGTTAATTTGACATTTCCTTTGTTTACAGTTTTCAAAACATTTACACATCAAATGGGGTATCTCTCCATGAATTGTCTATATCCCTATCAAAAAATCGGAAGTTTTCTACTTATGAGAATGATGACTTATGTAGCATCTGTTTGGATGGAGGGGATCTATTGTGTTGTGATACATGTCCGAGGGCTTTTCACGCAGGTTTGTTTTCAACTATATTCCTGGGTATTCTCTTCATCGCCAGCTTTTCAGGATTCACTTGTTTGTATAACAATTGATGTGCTGGATGCATTTAAGCAATGGCAGTATAAAGAAAGTAACTCCCGCCTAATTGATTTCCAAACTTGATGTTGTATCTGATTTTTAGGGAATGCCAAACCATATTCTAAGCTCTAAACTTATTTGATTATTCCTCTACGAACTTGTAAACTTTGTGAAATTGTAACTAGTCTTACGTATTGCCTCAAATTGTGAACTTTGCCTTTTGCTCTTGGTTGGCCATAGTTCATTTCTTAACTGAAGGCACTAGTGAAGACAAAATAGTTTTTAATTCCATTTCCCAATGGTTCAATTACCTACGCGGTTCATGATATTGCAGAGTGAAATTGATTATTTGTGGACGCAATAATTATATGGCGTGATATATGTGTGAACATAACTTGCTTTTGATTTCAGGACTGTTTTTTCCTCCTTTTCCCTTTTACCCTATCTCTTTGACTTGTAGCTGAACTTAATTTGGAGAGTTGAGAGAGAGTTACTATCTTGTACCCTTTTTGTGACTTATTTTTACATGGTTATGATCTCCTTTGGTCATTTAGAATCAACATATTTCATTACAAGTATTTTGAACCAATGGGATTTCGGGAAATGCAGTTTCCTTACTTTCTCCATACAAACAGATTGTGAAATATCTGTCACTTTAGTTAGTTTGTAATCAGTACGGCTTCCTGTTGGGCTCATGCTCTTTTAACTGGCTGATTGCAGAGTGTATATCCCTACAACGCATTCCGACTGGTACTTGGCACTGTAGATATTGCCAGAATACCTTCCAAAAGGAAAAGTTTGTGCAACATAATGCCAATGCTGTTGCTGCAGGAAGAGTTGTTGGAATTGATCCAATAGAACAGATAACCAAGAGATGCATTCGAATTATCAAAATCCCAGAGGCAGAAGTTCCTAGTGTGTGTGTGCTATGCAGGTTGGGTGTATTCTCTTCTGACCAGTTTCAATGCTTCTGTGCTGCTTTGAATTAATCCTCACTCAAAACGCCCTCAATTTTTACCTTAAATAGTTTTAAGTCTTCTTCTAACATGTATGTCTGAAAATATATGTAATTATCCAGATAGAAGTGGTAATCAGTTACCAATCTAACACAATGATCTGGAGTAGAAATATTCTAGACAGCTGAAATCTCTAATTTGATTTATTCAGAATCTGTAGCAGTGATAAACTCATACCTATCTGATCCAAAAACTTGTTCTTTATTTGCAAATTGACAAATGTCTGATCCCATTGTTTGGTGTTCTGCACTCATGTTGATACTTGATTAGTTGTTGCCATTTTCTCTCTCTCTCGCTCATTGCTTTGAACTTTATTTTCTTGTGCTAACAAGACATTGATATTTGTAGAGGTCATACTTTTAGCAAGTTGCGATTTGGTCCTCGCACTGTTATACTTTGTGATCAGGTATCTTTTTGGTTTTGTTTGTGTTGTGCTTATGGTTGTCTGCTGGAATTGAAACTGAACAATCTGTGTTCATTTTCTCTTTGGCAGTGTGAGAGAGAGTATCATGTGGGTTGTCTGAGGGATCATGACATCGATGACCTTAAGGTACCCTGTTTTCCTTCACAGTTACAAATATTGAATAGTTTTCTATTTCCTTCTGTTTATAAATTAGTATCGACATCTTGTTATTATCAGGAGTTACCAAAAGGAAAGTGGTTTTGTTGTGCGGACTGCAACAGAATTCATACTGCTTTACAGAAATTGATAGTTCGTGGAGAGGAGAATATTCCTGATTCGTCTCTTCATGTTGTGAGGAAGAAGCATGCGGAAAGTAGTTTTGAGAGCAAGGCCAAACTTGATATAAGATGGAGGGTTCTTAGTGGCAAAATGGTTTCTTCAGATGACACCAGAGTAACACTTTCAAAGGCTGTCGCGATCTTCCATGTATATTATTTCCTGCTTAAACCACTAACAAATTCATTGCTGATCTTATCATCATTAACTAGATAAATGACCAGCTTGTTAAAGCTTGTATGTCCATCATATGAGCTTTAAGTCTTGTAGTTGCATCAGTGCATTTAATGCATGAGGCATCTTCCTTGTAGTTTGTTTTGTTTTGTTTTGGGTCTTTGACGTGAACTTAAAGCTGTAAGACTAAAGTACTAATTGATTTGTGATGTAACTTTTGTGGTTTGTGGTTTATAGGAGCGCTTTGATCCTATAAGTGACTCTGGATCGAGTAAAGGTGATCTCATTCCATCAATGGTTTATGGGTAAGCAATACTCATCATCTATGTGTATCTTTTTGATGCTTACCGATTAGGCAGTGCAAATAATTTCATCAATGCTTAGTTTGGTAGGAGTGTTATGTTTTCAGCAGGTTAAGTACACGAGTTGGTAATAAACTAATTTCATCTGGCAATTTTTAGCCACTGATATGATTTCATTTGCATAAAGAGTTGGGAAATATTTTGCTTATTTTAATATGGTCTTAGTTTTTACTCTTCTTTCCAATTTTAAGTTTAGATTGTACTAATTGCTCTTTATGTCATGATAAATTATTTTAATACTATTTAATAACTGAACTTTGTTTTGCAGGAAAACTTTCAAGGGCCAAGATTTTAGTGGCATGTACTGTGCAATATTAACTGTCAAGTGAGACTTGTTTTTTTATTATAATTTTTGGTTGAGATTTCATTTCTCTGTAATCTTCTATAATTTTGTCTCACTGATTGATTTTTTTTTTCGTCCCGCAGCCAAGTGGTTGTCTCGGCCGGTATTTTCCGGATTTTTGGGCAACAAGTGGCCGAAATTCCCTTGGTTGCAACAAGTAGTGAAAGTCAAGGGCAGGTAATTAACACTACTTTCTAATCCCCCCCCACGTCAAAGGTCTTTTCTTCATTTCGAATAGGAGACACAATGCAGTCCTAAAAAGCATCGAAATTGCAGGGTTATTTCCAATGCCTGTTCAATTCCATCGAGAAGCTGCTTGGATTTCTTAAAGTGAAAACGATTGTGCTCCCGGCTGCCGATGAGGCGGAATCCATTTGGACAAAGAAATTCAGATTTAGCAAGATAACCCAGGAAGAGGTAATAAACATTTTCCAGCCAGCGTCTCTTGGAGGTCACCAAAAGAATGAAATCTGTACGGATGAAATGCAACATAATGTTTTTTTTCTGTTGATAATATTGCAACAGCTAAACAACTATTCAAGGGACTACCAGATGATGATCTTCCAGGGTACATCAGTACTTAAGAAGCCAGTGCCGGCTATTCGGTTCATTGGTAAATCACAAGATGAATGACAGTCGAGTGTGGTTGAAACTGGCGAGTCAGCAGCAAGTTTTTGAACAGATTTTTCCTCCTCATTGTACAGTAAGCGAATGCTTTAGTACTTTTTTTTTGGGGCACAGGAAAGATGAAAAGTCAATTAAATACTTTTTTTCTTCCCCCTTTTCTGAGTTTGTTGCACTGAAATGAGGTTGGGAAGGGGGGACCGGTTGCTCGACATGTAGGAAAATTAGGGGCGGAAATGAAGTATTTAATTCGAGCAATTTCAAAAATTTAGATTTAGATTTGTTAATTTATTTGTTTATTCATTTAGTTTTGAGTTAAATTAGATATTATATTTTAAATATTATTTATTAATCTCGAAAAAAAAAACAAATGTTTGGATAAATAACACGTTCTGGCGAGTTTGTTTTAGTTATCGAGTTCAAAGAGTTGATTAAACCATAAGTTTTCAAATAATTGCACAAGTGAAAAGGATGGGCACATACCTGTTACCGCAGTGCACATCATGAGGTAGGTCCATACTCGAATCATTGCAAGCGTCTCCGAAGGATTTATCCTTGCACCAATCTCCTCCATTGGAAGCTGCGCTTCAGCCTCAGTCAAAAGAGGCACCTCGAGAGGAATTCTCTCGATATTCTTGGTCGGAGGAGTCGCTTTTCCCTCAGCTCTCACGTGGTGGTCTGCTTCAACCTAACTTCATCTAACGAGCCACTCAGTCGACAATCACCATCCGGGACAAAAACATACAAGGGGCTAACATTTAACAGCCTTGATAGTTCTCTGCCAAAAGCGTCAACGCCAAAATTACTCTATAAGTGAATCTTCTGACCCTGGATTCGTCTCCTCTTTAGTAGGGCATATTCTTGCAATCACAAATGCCCGGAGGCCCATCGCCCCCAACTAAAACATCTCTAATGTTAAACTCATTAAGGTTATAGAATAGTCTCACCAATATCAAACCCCTTTGCATGCTTCCATATAAAACTTAGAAGGCGTGGACAAGTCTTCTGAGCCACACCACTCAAAGTGAAAAGATTCTATAATATGATCATCGAAGGAACCGATTTCCACCGTCGATAAAGGATAAAATACCCAATAAGAATCTACCAAGAAACTTCGCCCAACTGACCCAAAGCTACCTCATAGGTATTCATCACATCTTTCACGAAGTTGTGTCAGGAGATGGAATCCATCCTCCATAGCGAATAAAGGAATATAGAACCACTCTCAGTCCCTGCTAGTGCCCTTGCCACAATCAATCATGCAACACAACCCTGAGGAAATATCAAACTAAAACTCGAAGTTCCCTTGTAGTAAATCATAACTCAACAAGAAATTTTTGTAAAGAGAATACAACGGATTGAAAATCAAATACAAAAATAAAAATTAGGGATTTCTCCCTAAATTCCCTCTTAAATAGCAGGAGGACTCAATATCTTTCCAACAGTAGAAATACTATGCCTATTCACTATGCTAATTATAGAGCAACGTGTATAGGCCTCTAATCATTTAAGAGAAATCATCATGACAATTACCAAAAATGACTCCTTAAATACAAAAAAATTTCTCAAGTCTCGGGTCAAGTCACTTGGTGACATTCCTTTGACTAGAGGGACAAGTGTTATACCTTCTCGGATTTTTTCGTGAGTCATATCTCTAATTCCACTCTTCCATTGACCGAAGCCTCCAGAAGAACTCTCATGATTGAATCCTTCTGAGGCCCATATCCCCTGGTCAACAACAACTTTTGATATGACCTCTGACAGATCCATTTAACATGTTAAAGTCAAATCTATTGTGAGACGATTATATATATCGTACTTGTTAGGCTACAAATAGCCATAATGAAATTAGGTTTGACACCAATATTAGGGACTGATTAAAATTTCTCATGCAAGATTGAGAAAGGAGATTCCAATTCTTCTTATTCTTCTTCTTCCTCTCTTCCAATCTGGAAAAAGAAGACACGGTTCATCCAAATATTCGTCTCACATCGTAAATCACTGATTGCGATTATCTGCTTAAATCAAAAGGACCGAATTGTGTATTACCGCTACAATCTCAAATATTATCATCAACAATTATAAATACTAATTTTTTTAAAAACTAAACATATTTATATTGAACATTCATATAACAACATAGTTGCACTAAAATAGAAGTTTTATTTATTCTCACAACTACCGATAACATATGTGAAACTTACATGCAGCCAAGGGAACTTTGAAAGTAGCAAAATTCAGAGTAAAATGGGAAAAATAAATGAAACAAGATCGCCATTTTCTTTTCACCGATCGAGATATTTCAAGAAATATTTGATCGTAACATGCAACAACAGCAAGGGAAGAGAGAAGGGTAATTAACCAACTCCAAGAAATTAAATTCGACATACAAAATTTAATCAGTTGGTGATCACATGAGAAATCAGACACTCTTACTTCTCCTCTTGAAGCTAAGAGGCTCAACAGCAGCAACAGTATTATCAGTAGAAAATAACTCAGAATTTGATCTAAATAATTAAAGACTCTACCTCTTCACTCCTCGTAGTTTCAAAGAAGAACAACTCTGTTAATTTTCTCTTCCGGTAGTTTAAGCTCATCATCGCTTTCTTCCTAGGTGTTGGTGGGCAACTTGAGATCATTGATATCTTATGATCACTTGAAGTTGGCGTTTTACACTCTTCTACTTCTTTCTCTTCATCATCTTTCCTAGATGTCGCCACTTCATAGTCTTTGTCATCGTTGTCGTTGTTTTCATCATCATCATCGTCTTTCCTTGATGCTGCCTCTTCATTGTCTTTTTCGTCGTTGTTTTCATCACCATCATCTTTTCTAAGTGCCGCAGTTTCTTCTTCATCGTCATCCTTTTTTTCTCTGTCTTTTTCAAAACATTTTTCTTCTTGTTTTTGCTGGTCAAGTTCTGTAGGTGTTTCTTGAAGAATATTCTCAAGGAGATCGTCGTTGGACATGGAGGTGAACCCTGAAATTAAAGCTAATCGTAAGTGATTTGAAAGAGAGGAATTATGAAAACTTCAACGCTTTGTATCTGTATTTGATTTTGATCCTTATCTTTTTCACAAACGATAACTGATGTATATCTACTATTATTGTCTTCTCAAAACTTCGTATTTGTATCTTTTTCCCACTTTAGATTTTACCTTGAGTTATTATTTTATTTTAAAGGTAAAATTATTATTATTATTTTTAAAGGTAAATTATGTATTTAGTCATCTAGTTATTGCTTCGGTTCTATTTTATTTATTTATTTTTTAAATTACCACTAAAAATTACATTTTAATTTTATTCGAATATCCGCAATTTAAAAATTAGCGATGCATTATTGTGTCACATAAAAGATAATGTCATACTATTATTGAAAAAATTAAAAAAAAATATCATGTCAATAATTATGTTAATTTTTTAATAACGGATGATCAAAATGTAACATTAATAATAATTTTAAAAATTCAATAGTTAAATGATCAAAATGATAATTAAATGACAAAGAAGTTATGTTATATAACGATGGTCCATTCAGTTCATGTTACCACCAAAGAGCAAACTTGTTACATGATATTTATATATAGTCTCTATCTAAACACTTCAATTTTTTAAATGAAAGGTTATAAATTGACATTAAGATAAAGGATATGTCAATATCCTATCATCGAACTTAGTTGCTATTTGTCTATTTAATTTAATATTATAATATATTAAAAATATGATTGAATCTACTTAGATATTTAATATCTTTTGATTTATAGGTGAGAAAGATTGGAATAATATAAACCTTTTTTTTGTAAAATTAGATTAGCAAAAGTTTTTTTTGGTTGCCCTCCAGTTATAAGGGATTAGTCCTGATTAATCTGGACTAACCCGGGTCGTACACCTGGCTTTGGTGGGTTAGTCTCTCAACGGGGATTTTATGCATAGACTCGAATCTAAGACATTGCTTAAGCGATATCAAAATACTTACCACTTGAATCAATCCTGTTAGTATATTAGCAAAATTAAAAAAAAATGGCTTTAATGAGATTTTGGAGATTTATAATCAATTTTTTTAAGAAGTGATACAATTAAAAAAAATTAAATAGAGCTTATTTGTAGAAATTATGAGATTTTCTTGAAAGTTTAGGAGGCCATGACCTCTCAATCTTCATTAAGTTCCACCCCTGGGTTTTCTTCTTGAACTTGGAACATTATGGGAGGGAAAAGTAAACTCTTAACCACTAAACCATAATTAGGGGTTCAATTGTATCATTATTTTTAACTTAAATATTTTTTATAATAAAAATATAATATTACTTTTTTATAATAAAAATATATTATTGATTAATTTCGAATTCAATCTATATCATTATCGTTAGAATATATAGATGGACATAATTTAAATATACCTAAATTTTATAAAAGCTTTAAACATTTGAAATATTTTATAAAAATATAAGACTACTACAATCACAAAGTTTAATTTAATTGTTATATAAACATTTTAAAAAAGTAATTGCCAATAAAAATAATTTTTATACCATTGAAATTAATTAGATATAAAAGCTTTTGACAAGACGGATCCAAGAGAAAGATAGGGTGTCCCAGGTTTGGCTTTTCTAAAAGTAAAATATCTTTATTTTTACGTTTATTTAATTTTAAAAATTAACTAAAATCCATTTCAATATTTTAAATTTGTTGATGAGGAAAATTGAGTTATGTCAACCTTTGATGATTCATTTTTTCTTATTTAGATGGACAATCATGACTACTGTTTATCTCATCGAGAGAGAGAGAAGAAGAGCTAACGTGTTAAAGAAGTCTATGAATAATCATCATAAGAGAAAAATGTATATAACGATCTCGAGAGAGAAATCAAATTCTAACCCTTTTGTTCAGCAATGCGTATCGACTTTTATATTGATCTTTAGTGTTGGTGTCAGGCATAGGTCATAATTACTATTCGTAGATTGGAATGTCAAACAAATATGATCATCTTAAAATAGATTTGACTCTAACAAATCACATGGACATTTCATAGTTCATATCAAATATTTGTAATTGTCTAGAGGTCATAAAGCTCTAGAGGCGTTGAGGAATTCTACGGAACATGAAGCATAAAAGGTTTTGTAGTTCTGAAGACGTTAAATTTTGGATATTTTGAAGAGTTTCGAATAAACTCCAAAAATCTTAATATTCGACGGGTGGAAGAATGCCAACACAAATGTTACGATTAAAAGAGCTTCTTTTAATATCCAAAGAAGGTACGACAAACTTGTCACAACCCAAATTTGGGAATAATTTAAACCTTGCAAAATTTGAGCACCAAAACGAATTTTTATAAATGTTTATGATCTCTTTACTACATTTCTTAAAGTTTAAGGACTTTTAGGGATTAACCCATTGTTAATACCCTAACCTAGCTATAAATACAATATTATAGCAGTGTGGTTTCCTTTTTCCCCCTCTTTTGTCTTTTAGCCTCAAGCCTCTTCCTCATCTCTCCCTCTTCTCTTTTCTTTCACCAGAGAACCATCACCGTCGTGCAACGCTGTCGGCGTGAGCATCATCGCCTCATCCATCGCTGTCCCTTCATCGTCCCAAAGAAATCCTACCCACACTGTTCCCTCGTCAGTCGTCTTTGTGAACCTGAAAAAAAAATAAGAACATTCGAAACCCCTTCTCACTGTCGTGGTTACTGGTCGCCGTGTATTGTATCGCCCACGTCGGAGAGCTCCCCACATTGTTCCGAACCTGTCAAGCCTTTCACCGCCTTTTGGGTCATCACCGTTATTGTGTTGTGGAGGAAAGAATGTTTGGCCAATTTCAACTCTTCTCTCTCGTGTTTTCGTTCGTGTTCCACTCTGAGATAACATTTGTAAGAGGTTGTTTATTGGAATATTTACTAAACTAGAGTTTTTGGTGCGATTTCGGCCATCAGAGACCATCCCATTCGCTGCGCTGCACATGTTAGAGTTTTACAGTAGAACCAGTCCGATCGGTTTAACCGTTGAACTGAATCACCCAAACCTGAACCGATTTGGCTCGATCAAAAACGTTGACCCGACCTGATCAATTAACCCATTGGCTTTGACGATTGTTTTGATATTAACTTTTTTTTATAAGGCCTATATCTAGGGATTTGAAATTAGTTAATCGTTCAAGTGTCAGTTGTATCTTATTAAATTATGTCAAATTATATACATATTATGTCAGATCAATTTAATGGTTCAACTCAAATTAAGTTAGATTATTTTATGTTGATTTGACATCTTATTTAGTTCGGATTTAGGTCAATTTAATTTCAGTTCAGATTGATATCAATTCAGGTCAAAATAGTTTAAATCCGAAGCAGTTAAATACCAAGTTAAATTAGTTTCGGATGAATTTCAGTCAGATCTCATTTAAATCGGATAACAGATCGGGTCACATCATTGACATATAAAATTCATATTGGATTTAACCAGATACAAATTGACTTTAGGTCGGATCATTTTTGGGTTAATTATTTTTTGTCTTTAATGAACATTGAATTGTAATTTGTGGTTGTATATGAACTAGAGTAAATTGCAAAAATATAAATAATTATTGGTTAATTTTGATAAAATATAATTGTAAGGATTAAATTTAATAAACATGAAATTACAAAAAAAAATTAATAAATTAAACAACACAGATATATGAGAGATCAAATCGAAATAATTATAAAATGTGAAGTTAAAATTAATGAAAAAAATGGATGAATGATCAAATCGAAATAATTACAAAAATATAAACAAGCAAGAACCAATTTCAGATACAAATATAATTTTAAGAATTTAATTGAACATATATAAAATTATAAATTTAAATAAATTAAACAAGGTGAAGGGATCAAACTAAAATAATTGTAAATGTGAGGAAAAAATATAAAATAGACTGAATTAAATTAATTTCAAAAATTGAGAAAGAATTTGAAACAATTATATAACATGAATATTGAATGTTATGATAAAATAATGCATATATATATATATATATATATTATAATGTACATTATATTTATGCATAAATTATAAGTATATACTTATATAAGTATATAATATAAGTATACATTATACGTATAATGTATATATATAATATTTACAATGAATGTCATGATAATATAATTAATATAACACCCTAGATCAGTACGACACACAGTCAACCGATGTAGGATGCCACACGGAACCATTAGAGTGGTTGACCAACACCTTACTCTTTTATTTTATTATAAAACGACTATTTCCACACACAAAAATCCATGAAATAATATAATTAAAAACTTTATACTGGGGAACTCCCAAAACAAATATTTACAACCAAAATATTACATACTGACTCTTAATAGAATTTAAGACTCAACTGATACAACATGGTTTATAAAATATACATGCCCTTCAAAAACAACTAAGACGTACTCTAAAATTGCATTGAGTCTGGACCTTGATCTATCTACTGCTCCTCGAACTCTCGATCTACTGACATGCCTACATAAAACAATTCGAAAGTTGAGCTAACTAGCTCAGCGTCACACTAACAAATAAAACATTGAAATGCCCCAAATACTAATATAAGGACTATTTCGAAATGATTCAAAAATATTAGGATTTATTCTATTAATAATGAAAGATGAGAATGGTTAGGATTAATGGTTAAGACTAAGGTGTGACTTTGGATTTTTAAGAGGGTATTTTGGTCTTTTATATGAAAGAAGATTTAAATGTATTTTAAATTGGTATTAAAAATAAAGGAAAAGGGGATCAGGTTGAAAAAGAAATAGCTCTCTTTTTTCTTCTTCCTTCCCCCTGTAGAAGAGCTCTCTCATAAGCTTAAAGGTAAGTTTTAAATCAAATGGTATATTCCTTCAATTTTTGCTAGTTAATGAATCATTGTATATGATGGAAGCTTAATAAAGGTTTAGAGGAGATTAAAACTAAGTTATGAATGAGATATTAGAGATTAAAGAAAATGAGTTTTATAAT